TCTGTCCCCCCGGGCCCGCCGGCGGCCGCTGTCCGCGGTGCTGAACGCGCCCACGTGCGTCCCTCCGGCCGCGACCCCATCCTCGCCCTCCTGCTGCTGCGGCAGTCCCCGCGCCTTCTCCCTTTCCCTTTTCTTTCCCCCTGCCTCTTCTTTTTCTTCTTTCCCCCTTTTCTTTCCCCCTTCTTTTTCTTCCTTTTCCTCTTCTTCTTCCTTCTCCTCTTCCCCCTCTCTTTTTCTTCTTCCTCTTCCTCTTCTTTTCTTCCTTGTTGTCGTCTTCTTTTTCTTCCTTTTCCTCTTCTTTTTCCTCTTTTCTCCCTTTTCTTCCTTTTTTCTCTTCTTCTTCCTCTATTTCTTTTTCTTCCTTTTTCTCTTTTTTTCTTCCTCGTTTTCTTCTTCCTCATCTTTTTTTCTTCTTCTTCCTCATCTTCTTTTTCATCCCCTTTTCCCCTTCTTCTTCGTCCTCTTCTTCTTCCTCATCTTCTTTTTCTTCTGCTTCCTTGTCTATTTCTTCTTCAAAGCTGCTCAGGACAAGTCTTGCTTTAATACTAGCTCCCAGTCCAGGGGATGTACCGACAGGGCATTGGTGACTCCAGCTGCTGAGCCACTGGAAGGTTTGAGCGCCCATATTTATGGCTCTGGAGCTACCTAGAGCAACGGTTCCCAAACTCTTGACAGATTGCATATCACCAATTTAAAATTATACAACCTTAAGTACCACCACCAGCAGATTTTTTGTAGATTTCGTAGACATTAGGGGTTGGAAGGGACCTCATGAGATCATTGAGTCCCCCCCCCCCCCCCACCATAGGCAGGAAGTCATCTGGGATCAAGTGATCCCAGCAAGAAAAAGATCCAGACATTTTTTGGAAGAGTCCAGAGTAGGTGCTTGCACCACCTCTGGGGGAGTCTGTTTCAGACCCTGGACGCATGCACCATAAAGAATTTTTTCCTTATGTCTCGTCTAAATAGGCCTTCCTGGAGTTTGTGGCCATTAGACCTATTTATCCCTTGGGGAGCTCTGGTGAACAGCTGTACTCCCAGGTCCTGATATACCCCTCTTATATAATTGTTGGCTGCTACCAAGTCACCCCTGAACCTTCTCTTTTCCAGACTGAAGAGACCCAAATCCCTGTCCTCCAGGCATTGGATCATGCAAGTGGCTCTCCTCTGGACTCTCTCAAGCTTTTCCACATCCCTCCTGAAGTGAGGGGCCCAAAACTGGATGCAGTACTCCAGCTGCGGCCTCACCAAGGCTGAATAAAGTGGGAGGATGACGTCCCTGGTTTTGCTTGAGATACATTGGTAGATGCACGCCACAGTTTGGTTTGCTTTGCCAGCCACAGCATCGTATTGGTGACTCATATTCATCTTGTGGCCAGTCAGGACCCCCAAGTCTCTTTCAGTCACGGTGCTAGCACGCGTAGCACTGCCAAGCTTGTAAGTGTGTTGACGGTTCTTCCTGCTGAGGTGGAGCACCGTACACTTCTCAACATTGAAGGCCATCTGGTTTTGGTCAGCCCACCTTGAAAGCATGTCCAAGTTGGTCTGTATTCCCAGCCTGTTCTGCAGTGTGACCACCCTCCCCCATAATTTGGTGCCATCCGCAAACTTTTTTGGCTCAACCTTAAGTACCACTAGCAAATTTTTGTCATACAAAGTAATTATAATAAATCTGTTAATGCGTACCACTGACAGGTTATCTGCGTACCACCAGTGGTAGCCGTGCAACAGATTGGGAACTGCTGAGCTAGAGAAATCAGAGGGGAAAGTAGCGGGGAAACTGCTGGGTAGGCCCATGGTAGTTACCCTCCCTCCCCACTCCATTTTGGGGTGGCCAGTGAGCTTGGGGGGGAAAAAAAAGAAGAGAAACCCAAGTATTCAGTGCAAGCTGAGAAGAAATTCCTGATATTTCAGGGGGGAAACCATCCACGCCCCATTGTTTGTATGTCTTTTTGTGCTCCCATCTCTTTGTACATAGACAATATTGAATAGTCTTGGAACCACTCTGATTTGCTGGCTTTCTGGCTTAGCAGGCACTGTTACTGGTATTCATGTGCATGTGATTTATAAAGTCAGGAAAAAGGTTGCAGTTGACTTCCGATGAAGTTCAGGCATCCTGAGAATATATCTCTAGGAAAAAAATGTTCTGCAGTACCACAAGAAGAAATGCAGAACTCCAGAAGTCTTGGTTCAGAGATGATACCTCTTATTAGACCAACTAAGAAATTGCACAAAAAAAAAAAAAAAAAAAAAAAAAAAAAAAAAAAAAAAAAAAAATCTTTGCAATTTTTTAATTGGTCTAATAAAAGGTATCATCTCTGAAACAAGAGTTCTTGAGTTTTGCATTTCTTTTTGTCTCAGACCAACACGGCTACCAAATACATCCCTGAAACTGTACCACAGAAACTCAACCTCTGCCCATTACTTTCTTAAGGCAAAGGCCAGACCTTGCAGTGGGCTCCACAGCCAGTCCCTTCAAGATCTATTGGAGATCTAGCTGCCTCAGGTTTCAACGTGGACAGTGAAGTGTTCTTGCCATTCCAGGTGGGATTGCAAGGTAAATATATGACACTAAAAGTCGTCATTGAATAATCACAGGATGGAAAGTGTCAGTGATGATGAGTTTCTTTGGAGGTAGAATCAGAAAGGCAACCACCATCTGGTTGTCTATGCTAGACATTTTTAATGTAACAACTATGAATACTTCCCATTTGCTAACATTTCACTCTTAGATCTCAAAGGCATTCTAGAGATACTCAGCTGGATCAAAGTGTCACCTTCATGTTTGAATGAATCACTGCTTCCCTGAGTATGGCCGTCTAAAATGTCTTTCTTATCCTGAAATACCTAAGTTGCATGAATAACATTCATTCAGGCTTCTAATGTAAACTGGACAGTTCAACATAGCCTAGTTTATCCAGTCTCCCAACGGGGTTTGTGGAAACATCATTATAAGGAACTGTTACATCTAGACTGAACAAAGCACTCCAAAATGTGTCACATAGGAAACAATCCTGGCTTGTCTCTAAGGGGATGAACTGGGTGCAATTTAGTAGGTTGGTTCCAATTTTATGAGTCTGTGATTTAGTGATGAGAGGGCCAGACTCCCCACTGATGCAAATCAGCAGGGTGCTATTTGGTGGGGCTATGCTAATTGACACCTGCTGAGGACGTGGCCCAGTGTCTGCTGTCAGAATTTCCTTCATGGAGCCAGTTTAATTTACACTAAACCAGAGACAGTCAAATAATGGAAAAGATGATTGGCGAATAATTACTGCATGCAAAAAAAAAATGAAGCCTATTATTTGCAATGAATTATTCAAGCAGCCGTGTTTAAGGCTCAGTCTCCGACAAATGTAATGGGGCGCTCCATCTCTTTCTTTCATACACATCCATTCACGCCTACTCCTGCTGGCTTCTCTCCAGCCAAGGTGCTCATAAAAAATGAGTTCCTTTTGGAATGCCAAATTGTTAGCAGGTGATGGATTTTGTAGATTAAAATGAGCACAATGAAGGTGATTGAGTTCAGAGAAATGTTGCCTCATTATTACCATGACCCGATCTGTAATAATCAAATCAACACTCACTAAAGCTTAATTTGTCTGTTGCTTTTCCAAATTTGCGGTGTATGAGCATTTATTTTTAATGTCTCATTTTCTTTTCCCTTAACTCTTTTATTGTAACCTGGAAAACAAATGAGTTATTTGAGTGGGGTACGAGGGAGAATGTAAAGGGTGATTTCTGAATGCATCATGTTTCACAGGATTTGTACAATCTTCATTGATTTTTGACTGTATAAAAGGCAAGCCTCCAAAAGATCAAGGTCAGACATTCAGGGACAGACAGCTGCCTCTAAATGAGGTCATTGCTCCAGGGTAAAATCAGACTGAAGAGAGAGGTGGTAGTGGAATATAATACATCCTCTGTGCCCAGAATGAAGTGTGGATGAAGCATATTGCCTCTACAGTGATTACACAGAGGCTTGGATTCAGCCACAATGCACACATGCTATTAACACATTGTCTCATCGTCCATCTCTAGCACTAGATAGCAGGGAAAGTGGATTAACAGGCTGTTCTTAGTTCTCAGAGAGCCAAGTCTCCAACACCTTTGGTGATCAGTGCTTGCTGCATGATATATCACAACCAAACAATGACTATAGTGACCCTTATTATTCCTTTTTATTGTGTTAAGTTGAAATAGGGGAACAGGGTGAATTTCACTTGATATCGCCATATGTAATTAAATATAAAAAATTCTTATACTGAAATATGTTGCAGTGAATATTCAGAAAACACTTCACTACTTGATACTTTTTCTCAACTTGAAAAGATGAGAAAAAAGTTCCTGGTGGTAGCTGAAGATGTCATTTCAATGCCAAACATGAGTTACGTTTTCACCCCAAACACCTGTTGGATAATGTGCAGCTCCCAGTGCTTTGTATTTAAAGCTTTTGGCAGCTCATTGGAGGGTCATCATTGCTATACAGACCTGGCGTGGAGCTCTCTTATAAGCAACTTATTGTAGGCCATATCAAGAGATGTTTGGTCACTGATGTCATTGGGATCTGGTTAAGGTCTATACAGAGGGGTATCTACACTCTGCCAGTATAAAGGTGGGCAAAATACGTGATGTACCCACTGGTACAAGTCACTCTATCTTGGGGTAATGTGAACCATCAGAGAGTCAGGTG